CTCTTGACCTGTCAGTGCCTTCTTTATGCAGGGACTCCCTGGATGCACACTGCCCCGACTCTGTGGCTTTCTGAGACCACAAAGGAAGAACGGACGACCCCTCACTATTGCACCTTTCATGCCTCTAAAGGCAGAACTACATGAATGACAGCGCCAAGTTCAGTTACCAGCTTGGCCTGGACCTCTGCCCACTTCATCCACATTACTAGCAGCTATTGCCTGTTGCAGTTCTCAAGGAGTAGAAAACTCCTTAGGCATTTTCTTTGTTTGAGTATTAATCTGGACGCCTTTCCTTAATGCTGCCTGCCAAGGGAGGTAGAATTACTGTACTTTAGAGGTGAGGCTGCTGGTAGATTGCCCACACCTCATCATATGGCCCCACACCCAAGGGCATATGGACAACACTAATTGGACTCAGTCATTACAAAAAGAGGACATGAAGTTGGGAGGGAGACATGTGGAGGGTCCCCAAGGGGACCTGGAGGGAGGTAGTATAGGGTGGATATGATCACATTCATTGGATACATGTATGGAGATTTCAAGGAATAAATAAAAATACGGTTTAAGAAATAAAAAACAATAAAAGGAACGCAAAAATTGTATATTGAAATTATTATAGTGTTTCTATATTTTATTTAAAAGAGAAAAAAGTCAATCTAGAGTCTGTTAAATGACCATAAAACTATTGTATCTCAAATATCAGTATTGAGATTTATTTTTGAGACAGTGTCTCCATGTAGCCCTGGCTGTCTTAGAACTCACTACGTAGACCAGGCTGGCCTTGAGCTCACAGACATCTGTCTGCCTCTGCCTCCCAAGTGCTGGGATTAAAGGCATGTGCCACCACGCCCAATGAGAATTTTCTTTCAAATATATTAGCTACATTCAGCTATACTTGAAATAAAAATGTAAGTACTTGAGACAGCCTGAGAGGGTGGGTTCAGACCCCCTCCATCGGGGTAACTCCCGGGAGCTCAGCAGACCACCAGAGTGTGCTGGGTTCTGGCCTCCCTCTGGCTTCCAACTACCAGAGGGCCTGAGAACCCAGGTGACAGCCTGGCAGCCCCCAATCCTGTCTCCATGTGGTGGTGAGCTTCCCCTAAGTGCCATACCATCCCCCTACCTGGAATTTTGTGAGGCCCCTCCCAAGGCCCCAGGGCAGATCTGCCTTTCAGAGGCTAAGGCTGGGATCTCAGCAGACCACCAGAGAGTGCTGAGTTCTGGCCCCCTTCTGGCCTCCCTCTGGCATAGGTTGACAACACACAGGACTGCCTGAGAGAGCCTGGATCCTGCCTTTAAGTGATGAAGGAAGCCTGAGTGTACCTGACTTCTTATACAGATCAAATAAGAATAGTAGGCTTCTTATGTTTGTGGTCCCTGGAAACACCATGATTGATTAGCCAGTACCACAGGTTCATTTGAGTCATGCCATTATAGGTATTGTTTTGTCTTTGCTGCCCATTACAATAAGTGCACTCACCTTGTCTTTGGTAATTCAATACTGCCACCTGAATCCTACTCCGAGGTCCTGTTACACCTATTATATTTATTTAATTTATGCAATTGAGCAGCAGCATCTCCAACTGTAAGATTTGGCATAAGGAAAAGAGCAAAAAAGAGCCTGCTCCAGATACCAACAAGCCCATTAAAGAAACTCATCCTTTCAATTCTGTTTCTCTAGAACCACTCCTGGTACTACAATCTGTATTAGTCAGGGTTTGCCAAAGAAACAGATTTATCAGCTTAGCTCACAAGATAGAGTCCGAGTAGTCCAAGAATGGCTGCACGACACTGGAGAGGCTGAGAATCCGTAATCGCTCAGTCCACAAGGATGGATGTCTCAGTAGTCCCAATCTGGCGCTGAAGGTCTGACAAATTCCAAAAGATCAGCTAGTCTTTAGTCTAGAGGAGCAAGACGAACTCACTAGTGAGAGAGAAGGCAAGAAGCAAGAAGCCAGGCATTTTCCTCTGTCATTAAAACTCATCAGAAGAGATAAAGCAGGTTACTTCATTCTAATCAAAGGAACAATTGACCAAGAAGATATTACAATCACAAACATATATTCACCAAACTCTGGTGCACCCAACTTCATAAAAACAGAACTACAGAACTTTAAAACACAGATTAATCCCAACTCATTAATAGTAGGGGACTTCAATACCCCATTGTCTCCATTAGATAGGTCAGCAGGGCAGAGAGTTAACAGAGACACATCTGAATTAAACAATACCATAGATCAAATGGACCTAACAGACATTCACCAAATATTCCACCCAAGCACCAAAGAATATACTTTTTATTCAGCACCCCATGTAACTTTCTCCAAAATCGACCACACAATGGGACACAAAACAAGCCTCAACAAATACAAAAAGACTGAAATAATTCTATGCATTATATCAGGCCACAATGCAATAAACTTTAGTATCAACACTGGAAGAAACCCTAGTAAATATATGAATACATGGAGATTAAACAACACACTCCTGAATGATGAATGGGTCAAAAGAGAAATTAAGAACGAAATAAAAGGATTCCTGGAACTAAATGCAAAGGACAATACAACAAAACAAAACCTCTGGGACATGCTGAAAGCTGTCCTTAGAGGGAAGTTTATAGCTCTAAGTGCCTACATTAAAAAATCAGAAAGAACACAAATAAATGACTTAACATTGCAACTCAAAACACTTGAAAAGCAACAACAAATGAAAGCCAAACCCAGCAGACAAGAAGAAATAACAGAAATCATGGCAGAAATTAATGAAATCAAAACAAAGAAAACAATACACAGAATCAACAAATCCAAGAGCTGATTCTTTTGAAAAGATAAACAAGATTGACAGACCCCTAGCCCAGTTAACCAAAAGAAAGAAAGAGCACCTCCAAGTGGACAAAATCAGAATGAAAGGGGAAACATCACAACAGACACCAGAAAGATACAGAACATTATATGGGAATACTTTAAAAACCTATATGCTACTAAATATGAAAACCTAAAAGTAATGGACGGATATCTAAAGGCATGGGAACTACCATGTTCCCTAGGTGATGACCCTCATCTTTGTAGAACGGACACTGGTTCAAGTCCATCTGGTGGGGTCTTCAAGGACTCACTGAACAAGAGGACAGGTGACTCACCATAGTTACAGGTCATTTTAAGAGATGCTCCATAGTTCCCTGGAAATTAGTCAACCTTGGAGGGCAAGGAGCAAAAACTGTCCTTTAAGTCCCTCCAAACAGATTAGTGTAGGCCTCAAAATATGGCTGTTAAATATCCAAGAAGTTTAGTTCCACCAGCCTGGTACTTTTAATTATCATGTGCTATGTAGATAAAGCTTGGGCAAAAATCAAACCTTGACTAGACATATATTTTTTTCCTTGAACTAGTTGTATGTATAATTTGTCAGTAGGTTGTTGGACTAATATGGTTACTTCTGGTCTTTTTAAAACTAGCTAGGCATTATTCATCTCTCACATTGTCTAAACCTTCCACTATGCTTTCCCCATTTAAAGTGCCCCCATTTTTCCCATTTCTCCCTTGATAATACCCTTCTCCTATGGTCCCACCTCTCTTGAGATCCTTCTTTGCCTTTATCCCCAAGGTTCCTTGTGTAACCCTTCCTTTCCCCTTCCATTTATATAATCCTATTTTTATCGATATCTTCCTGTTTCCTACTGTTCTTCTTTCTCAGGCGCTTTCTTCTCCTTTACCTCCCTGGTTCTTTTTCATTATCCTGGTTCCTGAACTGTATCTGGATACATACTCACTTATAAGGATTCGGCGCTAGCATGCATATGAGGAAGAACATACGTCATTTGTTTTTCTGATTCTGTGTTACTTCACTTAGTTACATAGGCCATATTTGCCTCAGTCTCACAAGAGATCTGCCTGCCTTTGTGTAGGCTCTGGACCTAAAGATGTACACTACCACACCTGGCTCTGGATTTACTTTGGCTATAGCAACTTTACTCATAATTGGCCTGACTTGGGAACAACTAGGATGTTCTTCAGTAGTAAAGCCCTTTCCACCTGTGGCTCCCATCTGTCTGTGGTGTCCCTGTCCTTGGTAGATGAATAGGTGAACTGTGAGACATATAGATAGTGGAATATCATTTAACACTTGAGGCAGATGAGCTGTGGCACCGTGAAGAGAACTGAGGAAATATAAGTGCATTTTACCAAGAGAATGAAGCCAACCTCAGGCTTTTTTCTTGGTGTCAGTAAGTGAACATTAATGGAAAGCTATTCCAGCAATCCCATGAAGGCAGCACCCCCAAGGATCCAGAATCTAAGGCCTGTAGGTGAAGTGATGAAAAGGGAACACAGAATAAGTGTGGAAGTGGGAGTTGTAAGTATCAACTGTATTTCCAGCTGACACTGGGAAGTAATCTGATGTATAAGGAGCTGGTTAAGATGATTGTGGTGGTGGGTGCTATTAAGGTTTCCTAGAGAGGTTTAGGAGCCAGAAGTAACTCAGTGGGGTACAAATCTCATTTCCTTTTCTATTTTGGACTAGAACATGATGTGGCAGACTCTGTATCTTTCCTCTTATTCCTGCTCTTCCTGCACATCTGCATAGGTTGGGGTCTGTGTGAGTTTCAGGTTTCTTTCTTCCCTGGGGCATGTCCATGGTGTGTGGGGTTGTGGTGGGAAATTCTGCTACTCTTCAAATATTTCCAGAACATGTGCCTGGCGGTCTTTGATACACAAAGACCATGGATAGCTTTTAGTCTACAGACTAAAGCTTGAGTATCAGTGCTCCTAAACTCTTTTAGAGCCTTCACAATTCCATCTGTTTACTTTTATGGCTTCTCCAACCATTCTTCTCTTACTCAAACAGAGGATCCAGGATATAAGACTACCATTGAGTTCCTGGAAAGTAAGTAAGTATCTATCAGTGAGCTTCTTGATATCCCCATAGTGCCTCAAAGTATAATCATATGTTATAGGACTCCAAGGTACATGTTCTTGAGATAGCTTGAATAATTATATTGCCTTGTTTAATGAGTTCCTCTAGGATCTGTACTCCCCTGGGATGCAGCGCCTCTTAGGCCCAAGGATGCATAGAATGAGAAATGTGAGCAGGGGTGGTACAGACATAAGGCGATGGCTATAGAGACAGTGACTTTCTATGCCTCTAATGAATCAATGGGAGCAGAGTCTTGGACCAGGGCCCTAGTGTCACCGGGAGACATTCTGAGGAAGTTGGCAGGAGGGTGGATGAGCTGGTGCCTTAGTGTCCCTCCATCCTGAGGGTCTTCATTTCCCAGGTTGTATGATATTCTGAAGGACGCTTTTCAGGTATGACTTTATTCTTTTCCGTCTTTCTACCTCCTAAGACTTTTTCCATATTGTAGAAATATTCTCATTAAACCTTGCACCTACAATATATATTTTTATAGTATTTTACTATTACTATGTATTCTTAAGATTTTATTATTTCAACATAACATCTTTATGAGATAGGCATTTTATAGAGAGGTTCTTGTTTATACATTGAACTATTGAAGAAACTTTAAAAACCTTACATAGGCCCTCTCAAAAGATTTATTATCACAATTGTTTAGACATTGCAAAAATGTGTACTTTTTCTTTCTGTATAAATGAATTTTCTTATTTTTTCTTATTCTTTGTCTTATTTGAGAAAATAAGTATATGGTATGCTTTGATCAAACCCATCCTCCATTCTTTTCCCTCTAATTCTTCCTTAACCCCATCCTTTACCTCCCGACTTCATGTGCTCTTTTAAAAACCCATCGAGTCTATTTAGTACTGTTCATATGTGCAGAGGTAGCCTGTCTCGGGTTGCATCCCTGAACAAATGGACTCAGAAGCCATCAGTTGCCAATAACTCTCCAGTTAGGGTTGGGGCTTTATGAACCGTTCCCTCACCCATGCTTGGAATGGACTTGAACATTTTAAAAATATTTTTGAGTTTTTGTGCATTTCATATAATAGACTGTAACAAATTTAGACCCCTTTCCCCATCCACAACCCCCGCTTGGCACCCCCGCCACCATATTTTATGCATTCTGTCGTATATGTTAAGTCTTATCCAGTGAAGCATTTGTACCCAGATGTCTATGGTGCAAGTTCATCCACTGAAGTCTAGTCAGCCTATCTAAAGTCACCCCCTTAAAGATGATCTACTCTCCCTCACCCAGCAGTTATCAGCTGCCAATATTTCTTTGGCTAGGGTTGGGGCCTGCTGCCCATTTCTCTCCTTCTGCGCTGGGTTTTTGTCTGAGTTGTAATGGGTCTTGTGCATGCTGTCACCATTGTGCAAGTTCATATGAGCAAGTTCCCATGGCCTGACAGCCTCTATTTCCTTATGTTCCTGTGCCAACCCTGGCTCTTACAATCTCTCTGCCCCCTCTTCCTCAACAGTCCTGTCCAGGGATGCACACTCTGTAGTCTTTTATTCTCTAAAATTTAGATGGTTGTGGCCTTCTGTGTACATCATACTCTGTTGTATGAGGAACCTCACTGGTGAGAGTTGAGAGATGCATTAGTATTCTCTCTACCCCATCCCACTATATTCCATGAGCGTTAGGTATAGAGGTTCCATTGTAGATGTGTCACATAGGGTTGGGCATCTCTCAGACTTATTTTCTGTGTGTTACCAGTTGTGGAACTCTGTAATAGCTTCAATTTGTTGCAAAAAGAAGCTTCTTTGATGAATCGTAAATGGTATGCTTGTCTGTAATTATAAGGATTGATATTTAGCATACAATAAGGAATGTCATTTGTTTAGATATATGACAGATAGGATTTTCTCTAAGATCTATGACCTCCATAGCCATGAGCATTTGGCTACATTCACAGTACTTTTAAAAGTTATTTGAATGATTATACTATTCAAAGTGTCGTCCAAAGTCCAGCAGAACTAGCATCACAAAATATAAAATTTGAAATTTTAACATGTAGAATTTTGAGCCCACACAAGACTTACCAATCAGAATCAGAATTTATCAAAGTAACAATGTATTCCGTATTTAAAGTAAATGTTGAGAAGCCCTGTGTTTTATCGTATGTGCAGTTCAGACTGAGAACGTTGCATGTACTATGTGTGGAAAATTTGAGACACTGTTACGGGATCACTGCATGGTATGTGAGGTCTATTGAGCTGCGGATGGCCCTGATCTGTACCTGGGGAGTTAGTTGGTAAGCAGTTGACATAGTTCTGCAGGTGATAGGGTTTCGCTAAGATGCTTAGGTGGTAACTGATGCCATGGGAACAGGCAAGCATTTACAGGGGAATATTCATGGAATTTTGACGGGGGGGGGCTTTTAGTACAAAACCCTGGGATTACTGGGGGAAAACCCAATTACAATTTTTGAGTATATCTGATAAGAAGTGAAAATCTCTGAAAGGTGGTTTAGATTTGTCTTATGGCACATTTCTAATTTAAAGAGATTTTTTCCAGTTAATGAGAGTACAGCCAATTACTGAATATTTAGCAGTATATGTGTCACAGAAATAAATTCATTTTCATTTGGATTTAGAGAACCCTATTATTTTCTCTTAAAGATCCTGAAGACAGAGCATGATAGAAGGAAACCAAACTGTGATCTCAGAGTTCCTCCTCCTGGGCCTGCCCATCCCGTCACAGTACCAGCACCTGTTCTATGCCCTGCTCCTGGCCATGTATCTCACCACCGTCCTGGGGAACCTTCTCATCGTTGTCCTCATTCAACTAGACTCTCATCTGCACACACCCATGTATTCATTTCTCAGCAACTTGTCCTTTTCTGACTTCTGCTTTTCCTCTGTCACGATGCCCAAATTGTTGCAGAACATGCAGAGCCAAGTGCCTGCCATCCCCTATTCAGGATGCCTGACACAAATGTACTTTCTCTTGCTGTTTGGGGATCTTGAGAGCTTCCTCCTTGTGGCCATGGCCTATGACCGCTATGTGGCCATCTGCTTCCCTCTACACTACACCAGCATCATGAGCCCCAAGCTCTGTGCCTCTCTAGTGCTTCTGTCCTGGGTGCTGACCACATTCCATGCTATGCTGCACACCCTGCTCATGGCCAGATTGTCTTTCTGTGAGGACAATGTGATCCCCCACTTTTTCTGTGACATGTCTGTTCTGCTGAAGCTGGCCTGCTCTGACACCCATGTGAACGAGTTGGTGATATTCATCACAGGAGGCATCATTCTTGTGATCCCATTTGTGCTCATTATTGTGTCCTATGCACGGATTGTGTCCTCCATTCTCAAAGTTCCTTCTGTTCGAGGAATCTGTAAAGCCTTCTCCACCTGTGGCTCCCATGTGTCTGTGGTGTCACTGTTCTATGGGACAATCATTGGTCTCTACTTGTGTCCATCAGCTAATAATTCAAATGTGAAAGAGACTGTGTTGGCTATGATGTACACAGCGGTGATTCCCATGCTGAACCCCTTCATCTACAGCCTGAGGAACAGAGACATGAAGGGAGCTCTGGACAGAGTTATTTGTAGAAAGAAAATTTTCTTCTGCATATGATGGCAATGATAGCGATTACTGCATATTTGTTTTTTGGTTTTTAAATGAAATATCATATAATTCTCTTGCAATTAAAACAGCTGATATAGAACTGTCTAGTTGATGTAGGCTTTTGTCTTCAGGAGTTCCCACAGAGGCCCAAGTGAGATGAGGCTCAGATGCTCTCAGGCTTTCTCCTAAAGTCTAGATCCCTCCAGGAAAGATGCTGCCCTCAGGAATTTAGGGGATGGGCTGGCCTGGGAGCAGGGCCCAGGAAAGATGCTGGTCTCAGGAAGCTGGTGGCTGTGCCACCCAGGAATTCAAAAGGAGGTGGGTGTGGGAAGAGGCCCCGAAGGCTCCTGGGGGCTACTGGGAGGAACTGGATTGGCCTGGGTGCAAAGGATCAGGAAGCAGTGGTGGCTCTGGGCTGAGAGGTCAGCCTCAGTGTCTGGGATGCCAAGAAAAGAAATGTTCCAGTACCCCGGCTAGGAGGAAAGATGGGGCAGGGAAGCTGGGAGGGTGAATGAGGCTGGGGGGGGTTCAAGACGTGGTGGGCACCGCTGAACTTACCCAGGAAGGGTACTGGCACAAGGATGCCACAGGCTATGCAGCCCAGGGAAGTAAAAGGAGGTGAGGGTGGGACCAGGCCCAGAGCACTCCTGGGGACTGCAGGGAGGGATTGGGTTGGTCTGGATGCAAAGGATTAGGAAGCAATGGGGATTCTGGGTCTAGAGGTCTAGAGGAGTTTGTGGTTCCAAGACAAGAAATGGGCCAGTGTGGGGACCTAAAGGCCCTACCTTGCATAGGTCCAAAAGGAAGTTACTGGGGGCGCGGCCTGGCTTGCTTTGAAAGTCTGAAAAATCCTTCCACACTGCTGAGGAGTGCATGATCAGTGTGTGACCATCCTTAAGATACACCCTCGGTGGTGGTGGGGGGGGGAGTTCCAGGTGCCTTTATAAGCTTTGGAACACTTGTAATAAATGAGTCTCTGCCTGACTAGGACTCCCCGATGCGTCTGAGTGTCCCCGAGTAATGGGGGCAGCATGGGCTGGCGAATGCATGCTTACTCATTCCCAATCCTCACCTCACTGGGGGTCGCATGTTCGAACCCCTGGCATCTGGCGCTCAACGTCGTGCTCGAAGGAAGGTAAAAAGAAGAAAAGAAAGAAGTAAGAAAGAAATGAGTCTCTGCCTGACTAGGACTCCCCGATGCGTCTGAGTGTCCCCGAGTAATGGGGGCAGCATGGGCTGGCGAATGCATGCTTACTCATTCCCAATCCTCACCTCACTGGGGGTCGCATGTTCGAACCCCTGGCATCTGGCGCTCAACGTCGTGCTCGAAGGAAGGTAAAAAGAAGAAAAGAAAGAAGTAAGAAAGAAATGAAATGGATTGGGGCCAATCAGAGGTTTGGGGTAAGCAAGACCCTAAAAAATGGGTAATGCAATTTTTAAGTTTGAAGACCCAGCACTTAAAGCACTGAGAGATATGCTTAAAAGCAGGGGATTGGATTTGTCAGATCCCATAGCTCAAAAGGTTTGGGCAGAGGTGATTCATTTGGCTCCCTGGCTACTTGGGGCTAATGTTTATACTGGGGATACATGGGAATCATGGAAAGAGTTTGAGGAAGAATACAGAAATGCAACAGAAGGAAAACCAAAAGGGGCCAAAGTAACAAGCGGCACCTGGGGCATGCCCTGGCCAGGTTCAGAGCCTCCTGGGCAGAAGGGTGGGGCGGAGTGGAGTGCATGGGGTCAGTGGCAAAAGCCTCCCACCCCACCCGCCTTGAACTAACAGCGCCTTGAACTAACACATGAACAGGTCAGGGGCTCGCATGAAAGCTGGTCCGACACCGCTCCCCGGCTGGTGACTGGTGCGAGTCAGGCGCCTGCACAAAAGCCGGGTGGGACCAGTGCAGCAGCCGCAGAGTTCATTTAAAAATAAAAAACAAACAAACAAACAAAAACAAAAACAAAAAACAACAAAGAAAACCACCTTGGTGGTACGCCACAACCGGCTCTGAGACAGCTGAAAAGGCCCAGTTTGGGAAAGGTGGCTCGGGGAGGGACCACACCCCTTCCATTCTGGGGGTGGCTGGGGAATCACCCTGCCCCGGATTCTACAGCTCTGTGGGGAGCAGCACTCCCTGAATCCCAGGCCTAGGGAATTTGCAGTAAAACCTGTAATGTTTTCACTGACTGGGGCAGATGTGGAGAAACCAAAATACAGCTCAAGTCAAGGAACTCATGGCCATTGTTTCCTGACAGTATTCAGACTCCTAAACTCCTTAAAGGGAGAGAAGCCCCTATTTTCTTACAGCATCTTAGGGGGCACCAAGGACTACCTGGGCTTTTATCCCAAGGCAATGCAGAGGCAGACAAGATGGCTTATCATTAAAGTCTTAGTATGGGATGGAATGGATGCTGATCACAAGATAGCCGGTGCTGGCCTTAAGGACAGGTCCATGGAAAATGGATAATTGTCTCCAAGGAGGTGGGAACCCAGAGGGGGCAAACCAAAGCCATGGCTGCTGTCTTACAGATGCAAACAGAAGCTCTGACCCATGCCTTAACACAGGCATTGAATTCACTTAATTTGGGTCAGCAGGTAACAATGGGGTCTAGAGGGATAGAAGGTCCACGTTTTGGCTGTGGCCAGACTGGCCATATTAAAAGAAATTGCCCTCAGTGAGAGAACTGGCCTAAGCCTGGAGGTGGGGTATCAAAAAGACACCCATCTATGCCCTGTCCCTGGTGTCACAAAGGGCTCCATTGGCAAAAGGAATGTAAATCCAGATTTGATATTGAAGGAAAGCCTTTAAACTAAGTGGGGGGCAGCCTCCAGCCCCGTTGACAAAAGGAGGACTTCCCCATGATCGGCTACATTTACAATGCCCTCGGGGAGGGATCGGGAGAGGAGAAAAATCTATGGCGAATTAGACAGTCCCTGTTATCCCTGGTGTAAGGCCCAAGATGGATCTTGAAATAGGTGGCAGGAGGTTTTGTTGCCTAGTGGACATGGGGGCTGATAGAACCATTCTTAGAAAGAAGGAGGTCCCATCACAATGGCACCTAGTTTCTGGGCCCCGAATCCTAGGTGTGGGAGGATACACCCCATCAGAGGAGACTCAAGAATGGCTCACCTGGCATGGCAGGATGCAGATGGAGCTAAAGGGGAGGTGAAAACCCTGGCGGTGGCAGGGTTATCTGCCAACCTCATAGGACAAGATATTTTGGGGAACGCACAGGCCTGCATAACCACTGATAGCAAGGCCTTTTATGATGACCTTTTGGATCTTGAAGAGTCTGATAGGCTTCCTGAGTCAGCAACTCAAGGGTTGTCTCGCCATATCAATTACAGGGGGGACCCAAAGAAAGAGCATCAGGTTCACCCCAATTCTAAGGGCCACTGCCCCTCAGGTTCCGGCTATCTGGTGGTCCCCTGGGGCGCCGGTATGGGTGGAGCAGTGGCCATTACTTGAGACAAAGCTACATGCTTTAAAGGAAATTGTGCAGGAATGATTAAGGTTGGGCCACATCCAGCCTTCTGTAAGTCCATGGAACACACCTGTCTTTGTTATTAAGAAAGCCTCTGACAAATGGAGAATGTTGCAAGACTTGCTAAAGTCAATGCTAGAAAGACCCTAGTGGGCACACCCTTAAGGGGGCTGCCTTGGATCCCTGCTATTTCCTCAGATTTATTTCTTATAGTTATAGACATTAAAGATTGTTTTTTCTCTATTCCTCTACAACCCCAGGGTTGTGAAAAATTTGCTTGCTCTGTACCTTCCACCAACTTTAAAACGCCTCATGAGAGGTATGAATGGATTGTTTTACCCCAAGGTATGGCCAATAGCCCAGCATTCTGCCAAAGCTATGTGAAGACCCTTTTGGGGCCTGCTCACTTGCTGCCACATGCCACCGTGTACATTTATATGGATGATATAATCTTGGGAGCTCCAAGCCTCCAACAATTAGAAGAGTTATATAAGGTTACTCAGAAATGTCTACAGACAGGCGGACTCCATGTATCCACTGATAAAATACAGACTATTACTCCCTTTAAAATTCTGGGAACCATACTCTCTTTGGAAGGAGTAAGTCCTTTAAAATCACAACTGGCTGTCAAGCCCACCATAACCCTGAATCAGCTACAGAAATTATTAGGAGAAATTAATTGAGTATGAGCCTGGATGCCTATTCCCACTGAGACTTTAAGACCACTGTTTCAGTTGCTAGTAGGGAAACAGCTTTCAGAACTAATTCACCTGGCTCCTCAACACCTGGACATCTTACCTGAGGTCCAGGATGCCCTGGACTGAGCCCAACTTGCCCAGTACATGCCTAGTAAAGATCTTGAGTTATGGGTACTCCCTGGTGAGACCCTGATGACATCAGTCCTTACACAGGACGGGAAGCCCCTTCAATGGGTGCATGCCCCTCTGGGAGGCATACCACAAGTTTATACACCCATGGATCAATTGGATGACCTGATTGAGAAATGGCATGATGTAGCTCTGAGACATTATGGCATAGACCCTCTTAAAATTGTTATCCCTTATTATCTTAGGGATTTTGAATGGCTCTGCAGAAATAATAACCAAGTGGCCATAGCCTTGGAAAGGTTCCTGGGAAATTTGGACTGTCATTAGGGCCCTCATAAATGGCTATGGGCCCTCATAATGGGCTCCTTTCACACCATAAATGGGTCCTCATAAATGGCTCCTTTCACACCCTCTGTTGGGATGCCCCCCGGCTCTTTGTCAAGGAGCCATTAGTAAAAGCCTATAATGTTTTCACTGACAGGGGCAGATTTGGGGCTGCAATGATAGTATACCCAGGGGCAGATGAGAAACCAAAAAGATATGTCCACACTTGTGATGGCTCAGCTCAATTCAAGCAACTCATGGCCATTGGTTTAGCATTAAGAAAGATAAGTGAGCCCACGAATTTGTTTTCTGACAGTCTGTATGTAGTCAATCTTCTATAGAATATAAAGAAGACAGTATAATAAGAGGCAAGTT